GCCTCAAGGTTTTTAATGGACCAAATTGGTGATTACACGGCAATAAATGTTGTGGTGAAAAACTGCCCATTGACTCGGTGAGTTTTGATCGTGACCATTGGTGTGCTGTTGGCAAATTAGATAATGGCACACCTTTTCCCTGACCATCTGGCTTCAAGGGGCATTGCATCTAGATGTGCTCAAATATCTTTATTTCAAGGTTCAGTGGACCCCTCTGCATCATTACAGGAAGGCAGTCTCAAGCCACAACAAACAGCAGTGAATATACAATGCATAATAACAGGCACCAGTGTCCAGGCGTATAGTCCGCAGTAATAAGTTTGAGCCTAAAAATGTTTCTGTTTTGTTTAGATAGTTTGCATTTGTTGTATAATCCGCAGGGCCCGATTTCCGCGCCCAGTGCATAGTCCGCCAAGCTGGTGCGTTGTGTCTTCGTGCTTTTTTTCCTGGGTGGCATTTTCCTCAGAAGTTCTTTGGTGAACGCTATTGAGCCTGAAGAACTGCTTTTGAGGCCCATATCTAGCCACGGAGCGCACGCAAGCACAGAAAATAACACTCGGTGCCAAGTACAAACGAAGCACCTGGGCGGAAAGCTGTGAATGCCAAACGAGCAGCGTCCAGTGACGGCGACTGACTGCGTTGCGCCCCTTCGACGCCTGCATCGCTGCGGTGGGTGGTCGTAGCTAGTCGTAGCGAGATGATCTTCACTTCAAGCAAGAAATCTTGTTATATCATAGTCAAGATATGTGTGCCAGTGCTCGACGACGTGGGCTCTCTCACGTTGGTGCAGTTGTCATCAAGAAAGGTGCATATCAACAATATTGCGTGTTTGAGGCTGAAACTATGACGCATACTTATCTAAACTTAAATTTATCGGTCTGCGGCTACAAACATTTTCGTTGACGTTGCTTAGATGATGTAACCATTCAGGCCTCGCATTAAATGGTGTTGCGACTCTTCGGTTGTGTATGAAAACCTATTTTTGCCCTACTAAAAGACATTTCCAAAAGGACATGTGTCTTCTGCTGATACATATCTTCCAATTTACAATGCAGAGGCAAACAGAAAATCAACTGCATACATCTACCACTTAGCATAAGCACCTTTGGCATTCATTCTTGAGCACACTCAAATATCAGCTTAGTTTGGTCTTGTTTTAGAAGCTTTGCCCTGTTCTGTAAAGATAAAATAGTTAAAAAAGCTTTACCTTCGTTCTTCTTCTTGGATTTAATACAGACTTGTTTGTCAGCAGATATCACCGTGGCACATACAACTCGAATGACCGATGAGACTATTGCTATTACAATAAAGCTTTTCACAAGAGCCAAAACGAGGCTTGTAGGGGTGCAAAAGCACATAGAAATGAGATTGGCACTTCCGGGGATTGTTTACATTACGCGTAAAAACAGGACGACCGGCGACCAGCTGATCGCAAGATAACACCAAGGATACCGATGTTTCGATACGCAGGATAAAGACCTCAATCGTCCCTTGTATGCTGCAGTTGTCATACTTTCTATCCAACCGCTTTTTTGCTCAATTAACTAGAACAACCGAAGAGTTCGCGACACCTTTTAATGCGAGGCCTGTATGGTTACATCATCTAAGCAACGTCAACGAAAATGTTTGTAGCCGCAGACCGATAAGTTTAGTCTTAGATAAAGTACGCGTCATAGTTTCAACGCGCGAACATTGTTGATATGTACCTTTCTTTGGACCCGCGTACATTCGGTTCAACTTGATGACAGCTGCACCAGAAGTGAGAGCTCACGTCGAACACTTGCACACATATCTTGACTCTGGCAAGATTTCTTGACTTCAACTGGCTTGAAGACTTCATCTGTAGCATCACGGTAGGTCTTGGTTGAAACGATGATCGTCTCGCACACGGCAACAAACAGAGAACTACACGCTTTGTTTTATTTATACGCAACCGGTCTACGGGCGTCGCAAATCTATCCCCCTCTTGTCCGCCATGTTGGATCGATCGGAGCGCCCCCTATATTCGCTGAAACTCCTCAATAGGTTCTGGTAGCGGTCTAAACGGTCCTTTTCAGGGCCCCCATATTTTGTAAACGGAGCTGTGTTTTGAATGCGGCACCCCGTGTCTCTGTAAAAAGTTCACAGGAAAGACCCAGCAAAGGTATGTGGTCCCCAACTTGGATATCTGGTGTTATGATTCAAATAAAAATTGTTCTTGGCTTATTTCGCGCCTTTGATCCCAATAAATGCCGCCGTTGCAGTCGTCCCGCGGTGCTGTTGCTCGCCCATTCGCCGTCGGCGTGCCTCAGCTTCGTTGTCTTTGCTAGCGGCGCACCGGCGAAGGCGGCCTTTGATCCGAATAAATGCCGCCGTTGCAGTCGTCCCGCGGTGTTGTTGCTTGCTCGATCGCCGTCGGCGTGTCTCAGCTTCGTCGTCTTTGCTAGCGGCGCACCGGCGGAGGAGGTTGGTCTGACACACCGCGTTCGGCTTTGGCTAGCAGACGGCGTTCGTAAAATGGCGTCAGCTGTTGCTGGCTTCACGCGGCGGTACCGTGCGTGCTTCTATTCATTCGGCGTTCGTTGCCATGGTGACGGCGAGGAAAGCAGACGAACTTTTTGATGCGGAAGAACGCTGCGGCGCAGCGATACCAGGCGCGTTCTAAGGCCCTTGCCGCATGCTTTTCAATGGGCGGAAGGCGAACAAAAAGAGTTCGAAATAAGGACTTAACGCAGAAGGCTGCATTTCTCCAGCGCCTCATAATTTGACGAGCCTTGCACGAAAAGCATGTTTTTAGACCGGAGTTTGGAGATAGTTTTTTTTACAACAACATGGGTCTAAAGTATCAATGTGCCATTTTTGTTTGGTGATGTTATACAAGTGTCACGCAGTTGCTGGCCGTAGCGGCGGAGGTGAATGCGGCAGTCGCCTGTTATACTGCAGGTCGCTCTACAGCTTGCCAGTCCACGCAATATTCAACAGTCGGGAGTTTAGACTCCTCAAAAGAATTATGAGCCATTCCACACTGTGAAGGTGAATGACCAGCGAAGTTGTTTAGCACACAACACAGACGTGGCACAGAATTTTGAACAAAGGTAAGAACACATTTCATGTTTTGATCCATGACTATCGTGACGAACGCTACGTACGCAGATGTCGTGGACTATCGCCGCCCAGAGGAGCCGGAGGCAACTAGACACGCAGAAGGAAAGTTTCCTTTCCTTCCGCCACCCGGCGGAAAGAAAGGAAGCTAGGCACACGCGCGCTTCCCTCCTTCTCCTCTTTTCCTTCTGCTCTCCTCTTGCCCCTGAATTTGTGCATGGGTGGCGTGACACGAAGTCGTGACGTCATTTTCCCCGCTAAAGTTAGCGGGAAAACTGAATTGGTGCTGAGGCCACATGACGTCAACTTGCCCGCTAATTTTAGCGGAAACATTTCTCCGACAAATTTAGCGAAGCAATTTCCCCCCTAAACTTAGCGGGTAAATTTACGTCACGTGACACGAAGTCGTGACGTCAGTTTTGTTGCCGCACACGAAAAATCCATGGGACCCTAGCCATAAACAGCTTCGTTGTAAAACGGCGACACTTAAGTTTTCTCATACTTTTGGTTCTTTTTCGCTGTCATTTTAACGATCAAACGCCAGGATCGCGACACCCAGCGTAACTCCTGTGAAGTCATTTGTTGCCACTTCGGGACCAGGGTTGATGCGTGGGCGGTACATACAAGACTCAAAACACATCAGTTCGAGACGTGTTCCAGACACCGTAGTCTGGTGTCTATGCTGTGTCCTGGGTGTCCTGCGTAGCATGATCGCTAATTTGGGGGTCTTTAACGTGCGTCAGACAGTGAAAATTTACGCGAACGCGGAATGGCACGATGGTTATTTAAAACAAAACCCGTTGAGGTCAGGATTGAACACAAACACCGCAGTTTCAGCTTCCCCTCCAGGTTGCTCCGTGCCCATCCAAATGACAGTAAGAACAGTGAACGACAAGTTGGCAAATGACGCAACAAATGAAGAGCAAATGGCTGACGGCGTTGCATGTTAGGCTCATGCTTCTTGCTTCAGAGTTTGTCCTCTAGCACCCTTATCGGTTTGTTACGTGACCTCATTGGCAATGAACTGGTAATAAGATGATTCCGACTCGACACCTCCAGCGTTTCTTATCATCATTTGCGAATAACAAGTTTCCCGGTGTTCTGAAAGGGAAGCTAAAGAGGTTCTTAAAAAAAAAAACGAGTTATAGGTGAATTCTAGCGTATTCTTATTCTGTGAATCTGAATATCACGTTCATTTTTCCCGAAGATGTAACTCGATCGACGTAAGAAAACACGAAAATCTTCCTACCAGTCGTTACGTCACACACAGATCTTTGGGCCGCCAAGAGTGCTCGTGTGGACGGCACGTACAATGGCACTGAGACCAGTCGTGACGTATTTTTACGGCCTTTATTGAAAACAGCAAAACTGCGCGCACATAGCTTTGATAGGCGCTGAAGATGCGCGAGAGCGGAGATTCTGGAACCTCTGTTTATGACGTAACGCTCCAGGAAGGAGGGGCTTCAACGGTATACTTTAAACCTTATTTTCTGCAGCCTCCGTGCACCATGTGGTCTGTGTGATCAGCACAGGAGTGGGTACAGATCCCAATTTACAAATGTGATCTGTACCCACTCCTCTGCTGTGATGCTTCGGCGCTGCAAAGTAGAAACAAATAACTAGATCATAAATAAATATAAAAATAATATCAATATTCGTGACTCTATAGGCCTAATGAAGACGATTTAAGTGTGTTTTTCTCTAATACAGAACCGCTTCGGTTTCCCTTTAACAAACACGGTGGAAGTTTGGTGTCATCGCATTTGGTAAAATACACGTCACTACCACGTTATTTTGTTTTTCGTTTCGCCTTTAAGTTGAGGAGGAAAGCTAAGGGGAAGAAGTTGGCAAATACTTCCGTGGCCTCTTTCAGCAGTTAGTGACTGTACGTTACAAGAGACACCACCTCACACACGCACCTGCACGGACGTCATGAGGGCCTTTCCGATGGCGGTGCTTCCCCTCGCTATGCTGGGCACGGCGTTTTTGAGGGCTTGGCGAGTGGCGGCGCTCAGCGTCATCATGTCTGCGACCACGGTGGCGTTGTCGCTGAAGGTAATGATGCCGACGTCGCTGCCGTCGGGCACGTTGTCTTCCAGGGAACGGGAGGCCGCTTGCCTCAGCATGTTGATCTTGTTCTCCAACTGAAACCGATGAACGTTCAAAAGGAAAACTGAACACAAAATTAAGAACACACTTTTAAATGTCTTGGCGAAACACGCATGCCTTGGCCATGCCCCATTGGTCCAAAAATATCTCCCTCGCAAAGTAACAAGCGCGATAGTTAGGTCGCGAGAAACATTTTGAGACGAGAAATTTCGAATCCTATGCTTCTATTTAACTGGTCTTAACTCAAAATAAAATAAAAAATTACATAAAATGTAATAAAAATAAAATGAGTCTCGCAACGTCAATGAGGCACTAACTTTTTCTCTTTCTTTTTGTTTTGGGGGGGGGGGGGGGGGCAGGTGGAGGGGGGTGGAGAGAGAAGTTAATTCTGTGACCATCTTTTAAAATACTGTTTATAAAATGTCGGTGCTCAATGCATTTCATATAGTGCTCGTAAAACATTTGAAACTCCCGAGCACGTGCGGCCCAATTTCTTCGCTTATTCTCGACTTACAGAGTGGTCCCTTTGTTGCATAAAGGAATTTGGAGACGGAGTATAGTTCACAAAACATTTTTTTTAAGGTATACTAATATGCATAAAATATATTTGATCGTCGGCAAGGGATCAAATATATTCTTGGAGGCGATAAGATAAATTTAGTTAGTACTTTCAAAACGCATGCCAAATATATTCTCGGGAAATAACTGCAGCACGGTATTGCCTCATTTTTACGACACAATAATAATACCCACTTCCTGCGTGTTTGTCTCATAATTGAATTACAGTAAAAAAACAAAGCGTGCAGTTTTTCGGGTTTTTTTTTTTTTTATTTAAAGCAAGCTCACGCTACATTGCTTTCCTTTTCCTTTTTTTAAATGGAATATCGTGATCATATGTCACTTCATGTTCTATGTACCAGTTCAGTTTCTCCAAACAGGCAGGTTTGCTCATATCAGCTGTGGACGCTGCGAATCCGCGGAAATCTTTTTTTCGGCGAAAGACGCCTGTTCCGATGCCCTTCTTAGCAATCAGATCCGCCGTCGTGCGTCGAGTCACACAAACCCCGGTAAGCCACGAAAAGTAAAAACAAGAAAACACAATAAAAACAGGAGAAAGGATTAAAAATTATAAATACAAACTCGAGTGTAGCTCGAGACCGCACGCTTCTGTGACTTAATTTCTTTGCTGTTTCCACCACTATGCGTAAATCCTAGGTCAAATTGTGCTACAGCTTTATATACGGTAACAGTCGGTTGCCAACATATGAACAACAAAAGTGGTGCCACCCCAGATTTAAAAAAAAAAATCATGTAAACACGTTAATTAGTGCAAGCGCATTACTTTATGACGTCACGAAAGTGAATGAGCATCCGTCAGCACCAATTCTTTTATGATTGAACCCCAGGATATCAATCGTCAGCCTAGTTCTTCAGCAAGAAGTCAAAGTAGCCCCAGACCCACACCCACGAAGTCAGTTTACTAGAACTGGGGCTCTAAGCTGGACACTCAGCGAGAAAGTCGGCGAGATTTCTGACTGCCGCGATTGGCCAGCGCCGCGCTTGGCCTTCGCCCCGACCAGTCATGGCGGTCAGAAATCTTACCGACTCGCCCGCGCCCAGGAGCTCCATGCTTGCGAGACCAGTGGTCACTTCATCGTCCTTTATGTTATCTTCGACACTAACGTTCAACGCGCTTCAGTCATTGAGCGGGAACGTTGTTTTTTTATGGGCGGCGCCTGTAGAGACCTTATATTCCAACAGCCTGTAATGCAAATATTACAGGCAGTTGGTACAAAAGCATGAAGACATATTGGTCTTGGTAAGGATGCACGCGGAACTCACCCCCATGCTTCCGGACACGTCAAGCACAAAGACGATTCGGATGTGTCCTTGACCCTTCACAATCCGAAACTCCGTCGGCATCCTCGGGACGGGATCCGTGATGCTGGAAATACACACAGTTGTTGTTGCTGTGCTCAAGTTGCTCGCGCCTACTCAAGGAGAAGATTAGACAAGTATCGATGCGTTAGCATTTGTACCTACATGACAGTGAGAAGCTGACGCCGTCTACCTGAGGAAACAATAGTGGAAAGGGAAAAGGCGTCACGTAGACAGGAGGAGAGTAGCGAAAAAAAAAAAAAAGGCGAGAGGGAGGTCACGTCACGGGGCGGAAGCCAATGCGCGAGCGTGAAACCGGTGAACAGCGAAAGCGGCGTCAGGCAGCGGATGCCGCTGCTAAGAGTACAAGGCGGGCGAACGAGACAGAGGAACGGAAGCAGCGCCTAGCTCGGCTGGCCGAAGTGCGGCACAGGAAGCGGCAAGTCGACGCTGGTCTGCGTGTGACAGAGGCTGGGCGAAGCGGGTTCGGCGAGCCCGATTTGCAGGAAACAATTAAGGAAGATCCATTGGTGGATCCTTAGAGAATGCGTTACCATCACTCTTGGGAAACGCCGCACACGTTCACCTTTGGAAAACGCTAACAATGACCCCATAATGAAAGCAAAAAGAGGCAGCAAAAGGTAGAAGGAAAAGAGAAAACCAGAACAGAAAAACGAAAGGGTCAAAGGGGACGTGTGGACGTGTGTGTCGTTTCCCAAAGGGTCTTGCTAACACGCCCCAAGGATCGACCAATCCATCTTCCTTTCATTTTTATATAGAATGAATAATGATAAAGCATAGTAGTCTAAATATAAAGAAGGACATCGTGGTACGACACTCTGTTCCTGCTTCTTCCTTTTGCTGTGCCAGTCTGTGACTTAGTATTGCAAAGGCACTTGCCCTTGTAAGCTTCGGGCTCCACACATTTAAATATTACGCTACTTTATTGAGTGTTACGTTGCTGTGTATTTGCTGTATATAGAATGCTCGCAAGTTTGTGAGATTATATTCGATCGACCTGATGTAAACCTCAAATGGACTAGGGACCTGCAGAAAAATGATGCAGCGCTCCTGTCTAACCGTTTGGCGGTAAGTACTTCAGCCTATCTGCGAAAAATATTGAGAGTGTTTTTTTTTCACAGCAAGAATAAACTACACGTCGCCGAACGCCCTTTCGTGATCCAAAATGTAGCGCTAGCGGTTCGGGTCATGAGACAAAGTTTCAAACTAACCGTTATTTTTTTTCAAAACTTATTGGCAATTTTCGAAAGTTTCAACGAAAAAATGGGATGCGGCCAAGTAGCTGACGCCACTCAACTGGATCTAATCGTGGGCTTGTCGGCCGCCATTGTTCTAACAAAAATTGCCAAAGATCGGTTAAAATTTTTGAATATGATAACTGGAAGCACCAAAACTTTAGCATCTTGCATGGACCGCTAGCTCTACATTTGAGAAAAAACTGAGAATTAGACGATTCGTAGTTTATTTCTGTGGTTAAAAAGCTTTATATTTTTTCCAGAGATACCCTCTACGCCGGTTGTTTTGATATTTTGTTTTGTCCACCATACAGGCTGATTAGTAAGAGCAGCAGACAGGGGACTTTTCTTAACCTCTTTGTGGCTACAAGATCTACTCAATGACCTCTGAGAAAAAACTAATGAGCGATTAATGCTCCTAAGGTCTCACCTTCGAAAATCATCGGTGTTCGAGATGACGTCCCACGTGCTCCTCATGTCACAGAGGACGTTCTGTGGGGTGGGGGCGTCGGCGTTGTGCTTGTGGTCTTCCGTGTCCCCGCAAAACGCGTTTATCTGGAAGAAAGCACAAACGACGCGTACGCACGAAAAAATGAATTGCTTAATTGTAGGGATGCTTAAGTAGCCATTTAGTTCACGCGTATATGTATAGTATGCTAATGAATGAACCATACTTGATCGAAGGAATCAAAGTTTTACGAAACCGCCGAAAGTCAAAAATAAACGTCGGAGACAGGATTCGAACCCTGGGCCTTCCACTGTCCGGCAGGGTGTGCTAACCACTACACCCCTGTGGGTTAGTGGTTAGTGGTGTAGTGGTTAGCATACGCGCCCGGGCAGTGGGAGGTGCAGAAATAAATCAAGGCTCCGCCGTATATTTTGAATTTTGCCGATTTCGTAAAACTTTGATTTATTCGATCATGTACGGTTCATTCAATTGCATATTTTTGATTATTTCCTCTTTAAAAACTATGTACGTTGAAGAAAAGCGCTCGTGATATATTCACACGTGATTCTTGATTCTTGCAAATGATGATTATACCGTGTCTCTAAAACTCATAAACAAAACTAATATATGTACAGGTGACGATCGAGATAAACAGTAAGAGGATATCTGCACCTTCCGCGAGCCAGCAAGTGTCGCACCCCGTTCTACGCGGCAGCTTGTGCTCTCAGAACACCTACATTTTGCTTCTTGTGCATTCATAAAGAGATAGTAAACACCATAAAGTCAAGGTGAAGTGGCGGAGTGGTTAGCACACCCACCCGCGCAGTCTCACCTTCGGCCGGTTTCGTAAAACTTTCATTCATTCGATCAAATAAAGTTCATTCATCTGCATATTTTTCAATTGCATACATACACACACACAAGCGCGCGCGCTCGCACGTACGTGCGTGCGTGCGAGCGTGCGTGCGTGCGTGCGTGCGTTTGCGTGTGCGTGTGTGTGTGTATTCTACAAAACCGTATCTGTGCTATTTAAGTTTTACAAGGTCAGCATCCAAGAATGCAATCCAATCCACGATGAGAAACTGAGGCAAACGAGGAAACGAAAGCTCTCGTGGAAGTCACAGCACTGAGCTCTGATTGGAATTAATAGTGGGTAGAGCAAAGGCTACATGCCTTTCGTCTCCACTCGCTGTTCAAACGCCATCGAATACCGTATAGAGACAAAGGCAGCTATTCTTTTCAGCTCTGAAGATGACACCCGCCAGAAGCTCTTTATTACAACGGTCTAGAAACATTTCAGAGAAGGCTTCGAACCCGCATAAAATTACAGTCGAAACGCGATACATATCAGTCCAGCCATCGCGCTATCCCAACTGCGGCGAACCAAAAAAAAAAAAAAACGCGAATGCAAAGCGCACAAACACCGCAATGAACGGGCCATCAGGCTCTTTTATGGAAATCTGTCACCACCTCTCTGTCGCATGGTATCTGCGGCGGCACCATGCGATCACACGAAATGGAGGCAGACGAGTATTCTCGTTTTCCCCTTGCCACTCAAACTGCCCTGTCACGAGATACCTCCATGCTAATTTATCTCCTTTACTAAATTACATTAACAAAAGAAACTTTATACATGGCTTTGTGAAACGCTTTATTCGCGTGAAATATTTCTTGTGAAACCTTTTAGCTCATTGATGGCTTTGGCAATTGTGGAGCGCGTTATTTTTAATTAATCTCCTATCGTTTACAGTTTTTTCCGTGGTGTATCCAATGTGTGTAAGTACGGTGCATGGAACGCGCCTCCGATTGGAGTGGTTACCCTGACCCAAACAGTGGTTCCTTGCTTTCCTTCTGATGATGTCATAAAATGTCATGCTTTCGCCGGCCGCGATCGGTGCACGTTCTCACAGCAGCAGTGGTGAGTGTGGCAGACGCCTGTATTCCTGCTGTAGGTCGCCCACTAACTTCAGAATCCACGGAAGCTTCAGCATGCCAGGAGTTGGAACTCCGCGACGACAGCGGCACTCGCGTTTGCTGGTAATTTTTGCCGGGTCTTTTAGCACCAACATCCAAGAATCGCAACATCCCACAACATGCCACGCCAGTTTCTGTGACGTCATTTGTTGCCACGTGAGGACCCCTTTTGTAGCACGGTCGAATGGGGCGCTAAGCACACAAGTCGATGACGCCTCAGATGCATCGTAGTGCAGTGCCCGAGTTCCACTAAAGCGACATACAGAAACATCCAACAGCGACAAGCCTCAAACACGTGTAGGTGGCTCTCGAACGTATACTTACCCTTGACAGGCCTGTAGTCTCAGTGCTTGTGAAGTAATTATGAGCGATTAGAACCCTGCTAAATATAGCTTCGCGTGCATGCTGCACGTGCTTGAGGCTTGTTGGCGTCGGCTGTTTCTGCTTGCCGCTTTAGTGGCACTAGGGCATAAGAGATGAGGGACCTTCTGACTTCCTTGACTGCCTTAATGGACTCCTTCCTGTTGTTTTTCAATGCAACAGCATTTTTTAGCACCCCCCTTCCTAATTTCGTGTCCCATTTTGGCCTTCTCCAAATGCGCAGTTTCCCCGATAATCTAACGAAAAAATTGACGTCACATGGCCTCTTCACCAATTCAGTTTTCTGACTAAATTTAACGGAAAATTGGTGTCACGTCACCTGACGTCACGGGACCCACAATCCAATTAATTTTCCCCACTAAATTTAGATGAAAGATTGGCGTCACATGAACTATACACACTAATTCAGTTTCCCCACTAAATTTAGTGGGAAAATTAACGTAACATGACCTGTACATTAATTCAATTTCCCCGCTAAATTTGGCGAAAAATTCGGTACCGTGACCTGACGTCACGGGACCTACAAACCAATTTAGTTTACCGTTAAATTTAGCGGAAAATTTAATGTCACGTGACCTGATGCCACGGGACCTATGCACTAATTCAGTTTGCCCGCTACGTTTAGTGGGAAGTTTGATGTGACGTCACCTGACGTCACGGGACCTACAAACCAATTCAGTTTCCCAGCTACATTCAGCGGCAAAATTGATGTCACGTGATCCCCCATCAACCTCTTGGGCCCTAGGCCCTAGAGGTTGTCTAGAGGTCGTCCTCGAGGTCGTCCTAGACGGCGTTCCCAACATCCTCCTCTGGGACGTCGTCCTAGACGCCGTCCTTGACGTCGTCCATGGCTTCGTAACAAAAGGGGGAAGTAAACATGACGAATGCTATCGCAATTCATAGACAACCAACAGTAGTGGTTTCTGCAGCTAATTTTTTGTCTGGAGCGCGTGCGCCCAATGGGGAGACTCACCGAGGTCAGAGGTGGCATGAACATGAGGGACGACGAGGCTTCGGTGAACTCATCAATGGGCGTGAAGGCCACGCAGTCGGGGGATGCCGCACCCTCCACAAGCGAACACGGGCTGCCGTTCTCGGTCTCCAGCGACGCCCTGATGTCGGCGCTACACGTGGACGTCAGCAACTGCCGGCACGAGCGCAAGGCGAAGACCACGTCACAAAGAGTTCCCGTGCAACGTGTGGTCGTTCTAAAGCCACACTCCCACTGCTCAGACAAAAAAGAGTCCGCAGACACTGTCTGAGGTCTTACTTGTATGACCGTCACATTGGTGATACTGCAAACAGGTTTGAATCATACATACGTATGGAGCACACAAGCCGCGAACATCCTTAAGGCGTGTCCGCAGAGAATTCTGTTATGATCTTTAGCAAACGCCATGACGGCTGCCAAATGATCCATGGTACACTGCTTTCATAATTTTGTTGACAGCTCTTTAACGCCATGAGTTGTTATGACTTGAAAGCCACAAGGTAGGGGTTGCGGAATTGGGTATGGTTGGCGTTTGTGGTAAAAGCGTGCAACAGGATCCTACAAACACCAAAACATCACTCATACAGCGATATCTCGAACTGATGACCGTATTTTTCAAGAAAATGAGGCGCATTTGACGGAAATGTTCACGTCATGTTTCTCCGAGAAGGAGAGGGAACGGCCTCGCGTCTTTTTCCGCCTCGCCGCCTTGAGGGAGCGAAGCGAAGAGAGGAGGAAACTAGGTATCTTTACGGTCACGCGCCTCGTCGGCCTGGTTCAATCTCGACCTCTTTTTCCAAAAATACTGCCGTCCATTTGTACGTCCATTTGTAAAAATGCTGCCGTCCTTACGAGTAGAGTTGTAGGGATTGTAGCGTCCCGCCTACATCTCCTTCATTGTTTTTTTCTGAAATCCAAATTTCGGTTCACCATCCCTTGGTTTCACGTCGGCCCTAGCGCTTTCTCCGGACTGTCGAGTCGTTTCTAAAGCGATAGGTTTATATGAGAACCCTCCAAGTTCCTCGCTTTTTTTTTGTGTTATGATCTCCGCGTTTTGATCTGAATGAAGATCGTACCGGCGCGCAGTCGTCTGCCACTACTGCTTGGCGCACGTTATAAATATCCCAAGCGTGAGGTTGTACTCCGCTGGCTAAATTTTTCATCTAAAGCTGAGACACCCGACGCCCATTAAGGCAGACTAACTTCCCGCTGTATAAACACACCCGCAACGTTATCAGAGAGTTTTATGGAACCGTTTCTGCACATCCGATACGGTACAATGGGCCCTCCGGCACGAAGTGCCCATGTGAGAGTCTTCTGCGGCAGCACATGCGCAGTCCGTACCTGAGGGCCGGCCCATCGTGCCACATCGGATATGTGCAGAAACGGTTTCCTAAAACTCTACATGCATGAAAGTGATTGTCGGCAATAGAGCGAAGCTGTTGTCTTGATGTCAAATCTCTGCCATGAGAAGCGAAAAGTTACGTGACGTCATGGTCTCACGCGAACTAACGGTGTGTCACGTAATGTCAGTGTCACATGACGTGACGTCGCAATTTCTCCGTTCAATTGATGGAATAATACCTCCGCTAAATTACGATGGAAAGTTCTGCGAATTAAAAAATTCCATCAAGCGCTATGGAAACTTTATTCCTTTTTATTTCTCCGACGCTTCGTGTATTGTATGCCTGAAAGCAACGCATTTCCCTTTCAAGAGTGTGTAAAATCAACTAACCCCTGCTGGCGCTTTTTTTTTTTTCTTTGTCAATTTTATACTAAGGCGTCATCCCCTCAGGTGAGCAAAAAGCAAACAATTACTCCAACTACGCCAGCATTTTTTTTACGCTTGACAAACATCGACTAGAAGCACAATTTTCGCAAAAAGGCTGTATTGTGGAGAATCGCACCTGGATCAGGCCAACGCGGCAACTAGCGGTGCTGGATGTGTTTCGATAGAATGGACTATACTTCTAAGAAAACCAAGGTGCAAAAAATAACCTTTCCATTCCTTTGGTAGACGGCAGGGTAGTCGCTGTCCTTCGGAGATCCGTACTCGTCGAAGACGCCGTACCTGAAATGCGCCCACTCGTGCACCATCACGTAATCTGGAATAGAAAGCAGAAACCTCTTGGGCTTCCATTACCCTAAAGACAATTTCAACTGTTTTTTTAATGCGATAGGATTGCTTATGTTCTACTTTGCTGCTTTCTTTTGCTTGTCATCTTTGGTGTATGGTTTTTCCTATTATGTCTAGCCTGTTTTTCCTCTTTTCTAGCTTAATTTAACTGACGTTTAAACAATCTGTTCATATGATATTCATCAAAGCAAGACACATCTGGGTTATATAAAACCAGAGTACCTTAAAGGCTGGCTCACACGGAATCGTTTTCTTACGTTACGTTATGTTACGTTACGTTACGTTACGAAAGCTTTTGTCCTAGTCACCGGGAAATCTGTGCTTCGTATTAAGCGTGACCAATTCAAGGCGATAGCAGGCACAAAACATTCTAAACACGAATGCTTCGGTGACGACGGGCCAGGGCGGTGAGTTACCGTGGCAACCAAGGACACAAGGTTCGTCGTAACGTAACGTAAGGAGTTGAGCTCGGTTAAGCTTTTCACACAGCACCGTTTTCTTACGTTACCTCGAAGTCACCGAAACTTTCGTGTCTCGAATGTCGCGTGCCAGGTACACCTTCTCGAATCGGTAGCCACGCTTGATATGAAGCACAGATATCCCGGCGGCTTGTACGTAAGCTTACGTAATGCAAAGTAAGAAATCGGGGCTGTGCGGACCAGTCTTTAGTGAAAAATCTAGATGTTTCTTGTACGCTTTGTTGAAATCATCCTATATGGAGTATTCACTGGAGCCATAGCTGTTTGCACGACCGCTGAGCGCGGGCTGATAGCGAGCTTCCACAGATCATTGAAAACGTGCATTCACCACCATCAAGATTGCCAGTCTTAGCAGCCTAATATCGTGAACTCGTTCTGAGCATGTGCTTTAAACGGCGCCCTCAAATTTGGCGCCCAGTGAATACCCCCTATAATTAACCAAATATGGCGTTCGAGCGTAAGTTCAACAAAGTACCAATGCGGACCACACTTACGACGTTTTTATTTATGTTCTCGTATACTATGACGAGGACAAGTACACACCGCGACGTGGTGAATTTTATAATCAATATAAACCATGGTCTGCTTGTCTGTGAAGTCTGACTCGTACGTAAGCGATTTACCGAGCGACGAGACGGACGACGGCGACAAGCGACGACAGTCAGCGACGAGCGACGGAGATTTCTCACTGTCGCTGGTCGCGTCGCTCGGTTCTGGATTGCTAGAAAACGCTGCTCATCGTCGGGAAGTGGCTGAAGCGGTTAGCACCATAGCAAGAAACGTTCCGTTTTACGCCATTATACCGGTTTGATCGCGGCTACTTTGCGCGCGCGACTGCGCGGCTGTTCTCGGTCGCGTGTTGTCGAGGAGCTACGTATGGTCACCGGCGGCGATCGGGTAATAACCCCGACGAAAAGAACCGCTTCAGTGAACGCCTTATAGATAAGGTGGAGCGAGAGAGGATCCTTTGGGACATGTCCCACGCCAAGTACAAAGTATATATTTTAAAAGCGATTGCGTGGAGCCGCATCTCACCCGGGCAACACTGAAAAGTGGCCGTTTGCTCCCGTCGCTTTCACGCGGTTTTCTCGTCGCGCGACCGACCGAGCGACAGCAGGTCCTCGTCGATGTCGCTTGTCTCGTCGCTCGCCAAATCGCTTACATGCTGTTTATACTTAACCGCTATTAGCGAGGCGATCAAGCTGTGCCGAGAAAAAAAAACAGAAATGAGAAGATGAAAGCGTGCAGTGGACGTCAGAGTGCCGAGCTTTGATTGAAAGGATTAGAGGGTAGGCACAAAGGCTATCTGTTTTTGTCTCTGCCCACTGTCTCTATCCAATCAGAGCGAGAGAGAGAGTCGTTCACTCTTCGCGCGGAGACTGGTGTTCGAACGTCGGACGCCGGCGTTCGGCGTTTGCGACGGAACATTGCTGCGAAATTATACGAAAGTGTCAAACGTGAATTTAAAAATATTTTTCAGCGCTTTGGCTTGGGTGCTTTGCAGACGTCTAGAGCTAATCTTATGTTTTGTCTTTTAAACTGATTAATATGAATAATTGTGTTGTGGGTCTGTTTAGACGACGGAAAGCTAATCATCCTAGTGGTGCGACTCGTGTTTCGACTAAAGATAAAAAATTTAGCCAGCGCAGTACCAGTAACGTGCGTACAAAACAGCATGCCGGTACGAATCTTATTTATAATCGGAGATAAGCTAACACTCCATTGGAAGCGACCTCCTCTCCATCATTAGTTCTGCTAAAGTGGAAAGGCTGAAAAGTTTCCCCTGGCATTTTAGCCTGCCACCGACTATAGATCGAAACAGGCAGGGGCAGGGATTTAGCACAGGGTTGATGTGTTCCGCTGCGCGAGCTTTCCCTTGACGTGCTTTGAGCCTCGGTGCATTAGCACACTTGACCGCAGGCCCCCATTAATTGGCATAAAAAATCAAAACCCGAACCGAACTTTCTGGCCAACACGTATTACTACATCTGTGTGTGGCGACTCCCCACCAGGAGCGCTTCAATTCTACAAAAACGAAAGTTAAACAAATTGGGATTTTTGCTAGTGTATAATGTTAAGTGAATGTTTATGTATATCAACATTATGTCCTGTTACAAGGCTTACCTTTATTTCTTTTTTTTAATCGCAGATTAAAAAAAATGTTGAAATTTGAAAGGTTTGGCTAGGTGCCGCAAGCCTCCGCCTAATTCAGAGTGTTCAGAGTGGCGATGTGGGCGAGTTTGTTTTAAGCAATATATGAAACAATGCGCAAAACAACAAGGACGGGAGAGAAGTACGCAGAACGAGCGCAGACTGAAAACATTAATTTAAAAAAAAACGAATTAAACAACGCAATTCTCTCTCCCTCTCCCGTCTCTGTCTATCTTCTGTGTGTGTGTGTGCGTGTGCGCGCGTGTGTGTGTGCGTGTGCGTGTGTCTGAATAGAAGCTTGGCTTACGCAGTTGGTTCTTCTCTTGCTTATTTATTTAACATATGTTTAATAATTCCCTAGTCGTCTTCTCTACTATCCCAATGATCATGATGTCAAAAAGAGGATGACATAAAGAAGTGCCGCAATGCAGGAGTAAAAGACTCCTCGCTCTTGATTAAAGCGACCAACCATGCCCCCGTGCTCTGTCGTTAATGCACTGGCCAGTTTGTCTAATCTTGACCTTCCCACAGCTCAGCAAAATCTTGTACACCACAACTAATGCCCAATCCACATACTTTTTTCTGTGTTTTAGAGCACAAATGTTCCTACCTCCCCCTCGCTCCCCCCCCCCCCCCCCCCTCCACCCTTGTATAAGCGATTCTAAGGTAGAGTTGTGCCAATCACCGAGGCGCCGACAATACGACGGGCACCACAAACCGCGCTGGTGCATTTTTGAAGTTGTGGGAAATTCTGTGCTGGTATGAGATCACTTGTGGTCTATAGATTGGTCTCTCCCTCCTTTGATGGGGTCGGTAGATTCACTATATGTGGCTTCCTGTGAACTCTATAGTTGTAGGTCTATATACTGGCGGGCCATCCCTTCCTGGAGCTTTATTGTGCCCGTATGTACGGGGATGATTTTATTCCTCCCACTCCAAGATCATGAAATGGAGCATAGCTTCATTGTGCCTACGGGATGCCCGAGACAAGTCCTGCCACACTTATATAATGTAGAACTTTGGACGGCAGGTGCTTCACCTGCCGTTCAAAGTTCTTGCTTGCAGCGGCGCGGTTTCCTTCGTCAGTTTTGCTGGTGGAGGCGGAAACTTTGCTGAAAAAGATAAGGGGCAGCCCTCGTGAGACGAGACAGAGACCAAGCAAGACATCACGAGTGATCATATACCAGCACAGAATTTTCTAAAACTTGAAAAATGTAGTAGCGCAGTTTGAGTGTCGCCGTGTTTTCTGCTCCTCATAAGTTGACACAACTCTGCCCTAAAATTGCCGATAAAAGAGGAAGGGGGGTTAGGGTTCGCGGCTCTGTAAAACACAAAAACAAGTATGTGGAATGTGCGAAAGGTGTGTTGCATAAAGTTCCCATAGAGCATGACTACTCCCTTCGATCAACAAAGGGGGGGGGGGGGGGGGTCATTTACTACTGCACTGCGGCATTCGTTTGTGTCATCTTCTTTTAGACAACATCACAATCATTAGAATAGGAGTAGATAAGACAGTCAGGGAATTATCAGAAGCGTATGAAGTACTTAAGCAGAGAGAAAAGAACTGCGTAACCCAAACTTCTGTTTACTTGCACAAGAAAGAAATAGTCCACTTGGCTACGTCTTGATTCGATGATTATTTTGTTGTTCACTTTGTTGGGTTTTTTTGCAATAAATGTTTAGTTGTCCGTCAGCGTTTGTTCTGCGCACTTTTCTCGTCCTTGTTGTTTTTACGCGCTATCACATATATTGCTTAAGATCTTCGGCCGTACCCCCCCCCCCCCCCACACACACACACCCATCCGTCCATCCGGGCCTATTCTTAAAAGTGATATACCTGGCCTTTTGTAGTTGTCCTTGGTGGTCCCGTTGAGGTTGAGGACAAAGCTGGCCGGCAGCTCGATGGACAGGCCCGGCTCCCCGCAGCCTCCGGGCTGCACCGTGGACGGCTGATCGTGCTCGCTCTGCACCACGTTGATGTCGGCCTCCAGGGCCCCCGGGACGGTAGGGTACGCGCCCTTCCAGGTGTGTGGGAGCACGATGGTCACCCTCTTCAGGTACACCATCTCCCGCGTGGCCCGGTGCAGAAGGGTCGAGGCATCCAACAGCAGTGCCTGGGGCATTATTTCGCTAGTTTGTGTCTGGCACATATATAGGAAAGAGAGCGACACAGAAGTGACGTCATAAGTTCGACGCCGCAAGCGTCGCGTGATTTGTGTTGTGACGTTACGTGTTCTGTCGAGTGACGCGTCATATGATGTGATGTAGGATGAATCTACAAGTCGCGGCATTCGCGACTTCAACAAAACGGACGGTACCCAGCGGAAAAACACTGAACTGATCCGAAATAAAGTCACTGGATCCTGGGAAAGAGGCGCCATTGCCTTCCCTGCATTCTAGCTGAACACAGAGATACTAATATACAAACGACTAAACATCGCAAGGTGATTGGTTGATCAGTCTTAGTTGCAATGGATAGCGCCATCTAGGACCATTCATATCATCGAAGCTTCGAAAGGGTCGTTCAGAACAAGTCGCACCAAAAACGCTATTGAGCATCATCCTACTGAAAGCGTTCCTTGCCGATTTAAGCGTTTTTGGCACTGTGCATGCAATCAATTTATCAATTAGGCTTATCTCCAGAGGTCTGTTATTATTATATTGTTGTTCTTGCGCATTTACACATGAAAATTATTTTTAACGCCGCCAAGCACCGGCGCCGCATGTGGTGTCGGTGCGAACATTTATATTAGCGCCGAGATATTTCGGTGGCGCCCTCTAATGGTTTCCATCCGTGACGTCACGACTTGGATTTGCCTTGCCGTGACGTCACTAGTTGTTATTCTGGCTACTTACCACCAGGTGCGACAACGAGTTCGATGGTGTGTTTAAAAAGCACAGTGGAAGCTAGGAACCATCGCAACCGGAACTAACACCGTCAAAGTTGACAATCTGACAATGCTCATATGCCCATGGTCTGGCCAGTCGTGGAAAGCTGACCGCAGCGACGCTTTTGGTCGCGCACATCGCTAATACTTGTTTCGCCGGTGTGTGGATGACAAAATCTCAGTATTCTAGAAACGTCTCTATAAAGCTACCGGTCACCCGAGAATATAAATAGGCTCTTTAAGAATGGAGAGGTCAACAAGAAACTGCTTATTCTATGAACCAAAATGGCGAACATACGGGGAACTTGGCGCTTCTTTATTATAATCCAGTGGCACTAGTCGGAACAGGTCGTATGGTGACTTCTGCTCGTCTCTTGTAGGTCACTTGTGTTTGTGAGTATGTTTATACAGTTTGAAGTTAGTCTGCCTCAACTGGCGGCTTGTCTCTCCGCTGTAGACAAGCAATTGAACCAGTGCACTTCAACTGCTAGCCTGGGTTCTTTAACGTGCACAACACAGTAGTGATACACGACCGCACGCGGGTACGGTGCTTTTATTACAATGCTTGTGGCTTCCGTGATTGCATGTTGTCGGAGGTTAGCACGATGACTACCGAAGTAAATCTAATCTCAGAAACAAAGGGTATATTCTGACACCCCTTGTCCCCTATACGACACCCCAAATTTTCAGTTCGACCTACAGCGCACTGACGTCCAACAGACGGCCACAACTTTTACGAGGGGCCTGAGACAGTGATATATACCTCATTAAACAGCTAAAATAGATATCAAAGACTACAAAAAAGAAAACACTGAGGTTTTGCAGTAGGGCCAAGAAAACCCCTATCATTTTTTGTGTAATTAGTAATTAACACGTACATTACCTATTTTAATATGTTGTACCACTCAGCTATCAAGCCGCTCGTGAACGTTGGTACCGTCAGTCCGACCTGAGTCCTCTGTACATCGAACTGAAGTTGTGGGGTGTAAGAATATACCCTCTTTTCTGAGGGTTTCGCGGAAAGTTACGTTGGCTTGTGTGTGCACGGCAACAGCTCAGCAACCTATTTCTAAATTACCTAAGCATCAAGAAGCACGCAGGGAACGCAGTTACACGCGATGCGCTAGCTCGCCTTACCTGTATAGGGGGCATTCACTGGACGCCATATTTGAAGGCGATGTTTAGGGCGCATGCTCAGAAGGAGCTTACATTAATAACCTGCTAAGACCGGCAACCTTGATGGTGTAGAATGCACCTTGCAGAAGGACAGTGGAAGCTCGCCGTCAGCACGCGCTCAGTAACAACGCACACAGGTTTGCAGACGCACATGCAAACTGCCACTTGTTTTACGCACGCGCAGCGCGTGTAACTACGTTTCGTGCATTATTCTTGATGCTTCGGTAATTTAGCAGTAGGTCTATAAAACACGACAGCGTCGCAGGGGAAACAGTTACGCATAATGACCTAATTAGGTGCCCCTTGCATTGCTTCTCATGCTGTGTACGGAAAACAGTTGCCCCGGTGACTGTCGTTAATAGAGAGTTTTATAATAGGGGCCCCCAAAGCTTGGGGGCCCCAAAGAAATAGGGGCTCACCACTGCGCATGCGCAGAACCCATTTGTTTGGGGCTTTGGGTTGGCGCTTGCGTCGGCAAGCATGGCGGCGCCCTTTCCGCTCGCTTTGGAGCAAATTCGTCATGGTCGCTGCAGTATTCGCCCATTTCAATGCCAATGAATAGTGCAACCGGCTTTCGCTTTGCTTTATCTCGCTCAAATCACAAAGAATGAGCGGTGGGCTCGCGCCATTTTAAAGATCGTCCCCAATTCTGGCCGTTTCTAAGCCTAAACATACGCGGTAACCGTTGACATGGCAACGTATTGTACTCCGTAGCTCCGAGTAGATTTCGTTCGTGGCACAATACCTGCATCTTGAAAACAAGTATTTCAAGGCTTCAAAGTCGCTCCAGCTCAGTCTGTCTATGCTGGAAAAAGCGGTGGAGAAACTGCATCGTGACGTCGCCGGTGGGAGGAGCCTAATCTCCATCGCCAACCAACTACATCGGAAGAGAACTGCACCGTGACGTGTCCGGTGACGTCGCCGAACTGTGGCGATTGAGTTGAAACTACATCGTTTCTTTTTTCCCTAGAGGGAATTTCGGAGAATCGCCGAGTGGGCTAGCGCACACCAGCTCGGAGCACGTGGAGCGAAAGCTCGCGCTGCAGAACCCCGGGATCGTGGGTTCAATCCCCGCTCCTGCCCGTTTCGATCTGCTGGATGAGCCGGCGTGCGGTCGTGTACTGCGTGATGCACGTTCAAGACCAGGCTAGCAGTCGTACTGCACTGGCTAAATTGCTTATCTACAGTGGGTAACAATGTCGCCATGTTCAGGCAGACTAACCTCCTGCCGTATAAACAGCTAACGACCAATTTTACTTTTTGACTATGTTTGACTGCGTTAGTGCAACTTCTCTCGTGCTGCACGAGAAAGAAGAAATGTTCCTTCGGGGCTAAATTTGCGGTGAAGTAGGAAGCAAAAAAAGAAAAAAAGAGAATATTTCCCTCAAGTCGGGTTCGTCGTAGAAGAGGGGGAAGAAGAAAATCAGTTGTTAGTCCCACGGTGTGTATGGTCTTTTCTTTATGTGTATATTTATTCTAGTTCTGCTGGCCTGACCTGAAGTAGTTGCTTTAAAATAAATCATATATATATCTCTCTCTACCTGAAGTATGAACGAACTAGCTCAACTTAAGCCTGCTACCGTTGCTTGCTTGGCTTTTCGCTCAGCCAAATCGCTTATATTGAGTGCACTCAAATGAAAACACAATCGTGTTAAATCGTGTAATAGTATTTAGAATATTTATCGATAACGCCGCTGAACTTGCATCGCTCGAAGAACTCCCTTTTTGTGAGCGCCTTCTGTGCTTGAGTTTGTTGGAAACACAGCCACTTCGATCCGAGGCAATCGATGATAGCGTTGGTGACATCACCACGTACGCGACTCACAGAGCACTGGAGAACATCAATGTTTTCGTCGCTCCCGACGGTTCCCTGGAAGCCACCAGCGGCGTAAAAGCATAGAGCTGCGAGGACTTGTTGTTCGACCGTCAGCACACAGGGCCCTTCAAGACAATGCTGGAGCTTTCCGCGAAGCTGTTCACACAGCAAGCGAGTCACCCCTTTGGTCAGCCTGTTATTCGCCCACAAACCTCACATCGCTCGTCTCGAAAGCATCCCGGTGATCTCTAAAAACTCGATCCGCTGGCGAACCCAACAGTTGAGACGCATATGTTAGGGTCGCCATTTTTTACGATGCAGATTGATCTTCGGCTTCGCATCGACCACTCAGTTAACTGCATCGTCAAAGTGCATCGTGACGACATTTTGACGTCACCGCCAACTGCATCATTTTACGAGCATAGCTCGAACTGCATAGGGAAAAACTACATTTCAGCGTCATGTCACGTCACCCGAGAGAAGAGCCAATCAGCGCCCGATGCAGTTATCTACATCATTCAGTTTGCGTTCCAGCATAGATAGACAGATCTAAATAGTGCAGCTGCTCGCAGAGTATGCGCGCTCGCGCTCGTCTCAGTCTCGGCATAGTTGAAAGCCTTAAATCCTCGGCTGCAGGCGGTCAAAACGCACACGAACGCCCAGAAAATTCGAGAACGAGCCATACCTAAAACAGCGCGCAAGCACAAGAGGAAGAAAATAGAACACAGGAAACAGCGCTGACTCCCGACTTATGTATTGTGAAACGCCAAGGAACTAAAACGCCTCGTTGAAAGTTTTGGCATGACAGACACGTGGTCCCTTCTGCATGGCGCGTCCTTTGTGGCTACCTGGGCTCGAGGAAGTTCGCAAACATGACTTGACCGCTGTTACGTGCCACGATCGCTTTAGGATCGGCGGTGCAGATTGCAGAAGTGCTCGACCTGCCAGTGTCTGTCAGTGACCACTTTCCCTTTAGGGTCACTCTTGACTCCCTGGGCAAACTGGTCGAGGAGCATGGCGTTTCGACGCGAGCCTGCTCGCAGAGAAGGAAACTGTGCAGGTGCTTGCAGCACGTATCGCCCAGTCTCTCACGGAGCTCTCGGTGTCACCAAATAGCTGGGGAAACCTGAAGGTGAGGTGGCGTTTTATGTGCATCGCAGCAGACAAAGAGAAACTAAAGCGTCAGGCGCAAGTCCTTGCGGACATCCGTCATCGCATTCGGATGGTCCGGCGT